TTGGAAGAAGGATGCTCTCTCCGGGTTGTTAGCCCCATGTGGCGCATGGCCCGAGAAGATCACGCCCCGGAAGGTACCCTTGCGGACTTCGAGAACTAGCATCCTTGCACTCTCGAAGGCCACGCTAACGTCCTCCTCCGCTATGACAAGCGGGCTGCCATTGACTCGAAATGCACCTTCGCTTCGGTTGAGCCAAATGGCACAACCCCAGTGTCGCTGTCCGCTGGTTCCAAACCTCAAGTATCTCGAGCTGCGGGTCGTGCCTCCATCCTCTTTGGTCTCCTGGAAGCAGAGGATGTGGCACCCTTTGGCAAAGAGCTGCGCTTCGAGGTAGTGGTGCTGTCCCCGGAATCCCTGGAGATTGGCCGAAACGATTCTCATTTCAATGTTTGCTCCGTTGGCAGCACGGGCCGGTTTGTGGCGTACAACAGGCACCAGGTCTTGCGGGTCCAGGGGGCTCGGCCCAGGTTCTCCAGCTGGCGGCATGGTTAGCCATCTGCCCGATTCAATCGGCATTGATTGCGGCTGATAACTGTAAGCTGTAGTCGCCATCCAGCTGAGGTCCGCCGTAAGGAAAGCCACACAATTGTCGAAGGGGGGCGCCGGGATCCAGTGAGTCTGTGCAGCACCGCATTTTGCCACCACATCAACCAACTCGTTCCATGCATGCCCAGCGTGTGCCTGCGTGTACTCATAGACCAAATTCTCGGAGAAGAGGCCTCTTGTATACGCCGCCAGGTGGTGTAGTCGCGGTCCGATTGGTTCGCATGTTGTCCATGTACCTTCCGCCGCATACCCTGCAGCCTGGCAATCGAAGAATATCGTTGCCCTGTCTAGGCTCAGGAAGCTCTTGCTCTGGGCCAGCCAGAGCAGTCCGGTGGCCAGGGCCACTTGCTCTGCCCATAAAGCTGGCGGGTCCCAGTCTTCCCAGGGCACATGTCGTCCTCCTCGAATGGGCCCTCCAAGGACCCCGAAGAGGGCCATAAGGCCAGCACATTTGACGAAGATTGCGATGCCGTAGCCACTTCGCTGCTTTGCTGCGGTGAAGGAGCCATCGGTATAGATGTGCGCCTCAAGTGGGTGTTCCGGGCTCTGGCATGAAAGCACTTGACTCCAGTGCACCAGGGTGTCGAGGGCTTTCCTTGTGACCGCTTTGATTGGCATGCCCGTCGGCTCGAAGTCCATCCAGCTTGACGGCCACGTCCAAAGCATCTGCTGGATGAGAGACGGGTCGTGTGGTAGAGCCAGCCTCTCAACCGTGATATCATACCTGGCTGCAGGGAGCAGTTGCTCCAAAGTGACAGGGTTATCGGCTCTCCTCGTTGGTGTGCGACTGCGCTCTCGCCGCACAGGCTGTGGCGGGGGCGGTCCAAAGGGGCCCGGTCCGCGAGGGGGCGAGCCAGAACTGAAATCACTTGAGTTTGGAAGCCGGTCTTGCCCGTCGGACTCGTCGCCTTCATCCTCATCATCCCCGTCTGAGGAACTCTCATCGCCTGGTTGTGATGCAGTGGGGGAAGGCGTCAGCGCCTCAGTTTTCTTCAACGTCACTTCCAAAGTCTCGCCGTCGTCTATGGCCAGCAGCCCTTCTTGTTGAAGCCGACGGCCTCCATTGACGACAAGCGAGAATCCCTCAATGTAAGGGATTCCCAGTCCTTCGAGGTATGGCCCGGGCTCAAAGCGTCTTCGCTGCACCACCAGCCATTGTGGCCATAAGCATACGCCCCGCAAGTCGAGGAACACAACTTGGTGGTCGCCTCTGGCATACTCCTCCTCCTCGACGACCGCTAGGATCGAGTGAATACGCCTGCCCTGCTTGTATAATTTGGTGGGGCGCTCGCTTGGCGCTCTGGCCCAGTATGTTCCTGGGGTCAGGTCAAAGGCGCGACCCGCCGATTGTATAGCTGTGGAGGCGTCTCGGCGGTCGAGCCTATGCAGGGCGTCATTGTCCTTGGTTTGCATGTGTACAAACCGGCCGTCCCTGTGTTGGGGGTGTTCAACCTCTGGCCTCCACCTCTCAGGGTCATGGAGCCTTGCATCCAGCTCGCTCGCCCAGTCTATCACATGTCCCGCATGTATGATGCGGACAAGTCCACCTTGTTGCGGAGGTACTGTGTCTTCCGGGCCGAGCGGCATCAAACTGCCGAAGGCGAAAACTTGGGTTGGTCCGCCCCGCTCCATTCCGGCAGCCCTGAGGATGGAACGCTCACTGATGGGGCCGTCCACATAGTGCCCGAATATTCCGCATTGAAAACTTCGGGCGTCAATCACGATTGCCCAGCGTCCCGACATTGTAATCCAGCTGGGTATGAGCATCACGCTCCCGTAGTGCTCATCCACCTGGGGTGTCACAGCAATGACTCTGTCGAGGACGCCGGTGGGCAAGTCCAGGATGGAGTCCTCAATGGCCTCGTACATGCGCTGAGGGGTCATCGGAAACTCCAAGGCTATATCCAAGGAGACCGGTTCGTACATCGGGGCACATACCCAAAAGGAAATGTGTGTCGTCCTTTCCTCTTCTTCGTCGATCCAGTTCCAGGCTTCATTCTCCAGCTCGGCCGGCAGCTGCTCTCCTCGTTCCTCTGGGTGCCTTCTGGGCGCTGTCGCTTCGAAGCGCCCTCCACTGTAGAGGTACGCCTCATGTACAGCCCTCATCTCGGCATTCGCGAACTGCTCTCGAAGTGTGAGCTGTCCGCTCGCCCAAAGTTCCAAGTCGGATTGCCTGGGGCATCTTGGCCACATTGCCATACTCGTTCCCGCCGCAGTTCGCGGCACCGCTGCGGTAGGCCTCCAGAGCGATGCGACTAGTAGGATACGCAGCCACGGGGGTCGCATCCCACTACTTCGTCTTTTTTGGCCTCCTGGGTTGCTGCAGCGTGCGTATGTCGCCAGGGCAATCATCTGGGAGAGCAGTGCTATAGCCTGCAACGTCAGGAGGCCAGCTCTCGCAACCTCCGCGGTCGCTGCCTCATACTCAAACTGGATCTTCTGCATGTAGTCGAGGAGGGTCTCCATGATAAATTCCTGCACGTCGAATATGTCCATGACGTGGGGTTGTCGGTCGTGGCCTCCCGGGGGGCCGTGCCGTGTTAGCTCAAGTCGAAAATTTGCTTTGTCCCGGACATGCCGAAAAAGCCGGGACATAGCCTTCGCTTGAGAAGAGGGGTTGTCGCCGGTGCCCTTATAGTCGTCGGGCTCATATTGCCGTTTGCCTTCGGCGCCTCCGTTCTTCTCCTTCGTGCCATCCCCAGCAATACAACCCCCTGGTCGAAAGCCGGGCCATAAGCACTCAGAGTTTACCAAGCCGGGGCCATCACGGTTCTCCAGCTTGCTGCACATACGGAGGCTCCGTGGGGGTGATGCTAGTCGATGTCCGGTGGGCGCGGGCCTCGTCCATGAGCCAGGCCCGCTAAGGTCTCGTGGTCGTCGTCCTCCGACTCGTCCACGCTTTCGGCATCCTGCTCCCCTTCGGGTCCCATATTTCTCTTGGCTTCCAGCCTGGCTGCGATGGCCTTTGCTCTGTCCTGCCGTACCGGTGCCCTGCCCACATACTTGATTGGCATGCGGCTTCGACTTTTGGAGCGACTGCCTTCTGCTGCCAACCCTGGCATGCTTCGGAGGGCCGGCGAGGCGATGTAGGGCTCTGCCATCTTCACATCCTCTGGGTGGTCCTTGTTGTCGTAGGGGATCTCGGCCGCCTCCTCCTTCAGCTTCTTCGCCGGCGGCGTCCGTTCGATGGCCGCCCTTCTTCTTCTCTCCGGGGTTTTTGGCTCGTCCTCGCCTCGGCGGTGGTCTTCTATCGCACGGAGGATCTTCTGTCTCTTGTCGTCGTTGTCCAAGTCCCCGTCGTTGACCGCCGCTGCCAAGATCTCCGTAATGCCTCCCCCTTCGGCCTCCGAGGGCTTCCGCAGCAGTGCCTCCAGCTCTGCAAGCGCCTCCGCATCTTCCTCGGATTTTTCCCGTTTCGCGGGGGCTCGCTTGGGTTTGGTCATGATCTCCTTCAGCTCGGTCAGGGCCTCGTTCTTTGCCACCATGTTGTCCTCCTCGTCCTGGGTGATCTTGGCCATCTTCTCCTTGTATTTTGCCCTCTCTGTGACGTATGCCTCGCGGAGGCTGGCTTGGAACTCCGCCCATTTGGCCTCGGTCGCTTTCCTGTCCGTGGTGAGCTTCCGGGCCCGTCCTTCCGCCTTCCGCACCACGTTGAGGGCTTTCTGCACTCCAGTGACATAGCCGTCCTTGTCGTTGGCCTCTGCCTGGTGGGTGTCGTCCGGCTGCTCCCGCCTGGTTGCACCATCCCTTGGCTGCCGCTCGTTGATCTTCATCTCCTCGAAGGACGGGAAGAGGGTCTTGGCGCCCCCTTCTTGCTGCCATCTGCCACCTCGCTGGTTCCACGTCTTGCCAGCACCAGGGCCCTGCCAGGAGGAGGACGAGTGTCCCCAGCCATCGTATCCTCCATCTGGTCGACGACTTTTCCATTGGTCTTTTCGTCCCATGAGGCGTCCTTCGCGAAGGGCCGGCTTGGTGTGGTGCTGCTGCAATCGGCGGACGTCCGCTCGGAAAGCTGGCTGTCCTTGTTGCCTGCGACGGTGGAGTCGCTGTCTCGCGCGAGACCTGATCTGGCGTTGCCGCCGATGCCAGCTCGGGGAGCCGGGAATGGCGCGGCGCGGCACGATGATGTGCTCTTATGGCACTGGGGTCCCGGGCGATATGCGACGCTGCTGTCGCACTTGTTCCCAAACCCTACATATATATATATATATATATATATAGATATACATCCTTTTACTTATTGCTCCACACAGTATACAACGGGCGACAATGTAGCAGCCACAATTCTTCAACATCCTCACGGCATCCACCAAGAACGGCTTCATCCACCAAGAACGGCTTCATCGACTAAAAAAGTACATCTGAGATTCGTGCTGAAACGCAACAACGCAACCCGCGTTTGCACAAGAAACGGCTGCTGCACCGAGGTATGATGATAGAGTAGCGCTTCCAGCCTCGAAGACACGCCACTCTCCATCGCCGTCGACCCAAGCGACAAGATCCTCACCTGAGGTCAATCTGCACCGTTAAGCAGCGGTCGGTCTTCGTTTGACCACGCGATCATTGAAACAGAACTCGCATTGAACCCTGAAAGGCCAGTACGCTGGAACTGCTGCACCATTGAGGAATAGAGGGGTGGAGATGAATCTGAGCTTGAGCCCCGGCAGGCCTGAAGGGGCACCCCACAAACGTAGATGACGATGAAGTAAATTCCGTCCCAAACCTTGTGCCTTCTCACTTCTGGGGCAAGCCTTACAGATTTCAATAGCGAATGCACCTTTAACCAAACACTACCTTACAAACTACCTACTCGAAGTGGGGACTGTGGCCAGGAACAAACAAAAAACTCGTCACGGGCCCAAGCCCAGAAGCTGCAGCTTGGTGGGGCGCGTCCCGTCCTGGTGAAGATTTCATCTTGTGCTCGTCGGTGAGGGATTCATCGAACAAGTATTGGACCCAGGCTCACTACCATAGCGAGCAACCAAAACACGCGCAGTTCACAACTTTATTCCACTGTTGTTTGTACCGCCGCTGATACAGGTTTCAGATCGGGAGACTGGGAACTAGGCCTGTTCGCTTGTACTGCCAAGCCGCTACGCTGCTGTTGCCGCCGCTTGCTTGCTACTACTGCTTTACTGCATCCACGACATTGACGACTGCAACCAAAAAAGCAACCGCAAACCACATCCACTGCGGCAACAACACGTCCAACAACACGTACTGACACCAAGGGTCCAAATCTTCGATGACGGCCATCGGGTACCATGCCTTCAGCAGGCCAGGGCAGGGCTGGTGGCGGTCGGAAATTAGCTCTGAAAAGTCTGAAAGCTTCCATCTGGTTTCCACACTCAGAAATCGCAGATCCAGCATACTCAGGATACTTGGCGGTACAGGCCTTCTGCCAGACGAACTTCTCGCCCCAAGAGTCAGTTTTCACATCCTCCTGACAGGCTTGGTGCGAATCAAGGGTCTAAACCCTAAACCCTCCAGGAGGTTTGTCAAGGCATTCTCTACTCTACTCTTTAGGCGGCGATCCATCTAAGCATCTGCATGCTTATCGGCCTGAGTATGTGACGGACGATCTGCTGAATCTAGTGCAACTACCGGTATGCTTACGTGCAGCTGCATGTGTACCACACGCGTTCATGAGTGAGTCAATCCTGGCCTAGCCGTGGGGGGTTCGTCGAAGTCAACTTAGCAAAACACTCAGAAACTTGCCACGCCAGCCTCAGGGTTGAGCGTCGTGGCTGGCGGCCCCTGCCGTCGGCGAGCCTTCGATGCCTTCGGCAGGGCTGCGCGGAACGATGGCAAATGACTGAGACTGCACCAGTCCGGTGTTGAGTGGTACAGAGTCCCAAAGACACTTTGCACGGGGAAGTCTCCCGACTGTGTTTTTACAGAACCGCACATACCGACAAGCCTGGGCAGGAGAGGCAACAACAGTTGACCGATAGCTGCGGCAGCTATAGCCATATCGAGTAATCCCAGCACAAGACGCACACACACAATAAAAAACAACCAAGACAGAATCACTATGGCTATGATGGTTATCCTCATGATCATCATCGAAACTATCGGCACCAGTAAGGATTAGGACCCTCAACACCCGTTGGGCTTGACAGCGTAGCAGTACTTCTCACTGCGATGGCAATCACCAAAGCACCTGAAGCCCAAATCGTAAACTATTGTAACTATTGCCATCAACATATCATCACAATCACCGTTTCCATCCAGCTGATCTGAGGCTCGATCCGGACACACACGCGCACGCACACACACACACACATATATATACACACATATATATATATATACACATATATATATATATAATATATATACATATATATATATATATACACACACACATACGCACAAACACACACACACACACATCCGGTTGCACGTGCTTTGGATGTTGCGAACAGTATCCAAAGTATTGCACTAAGGACTCGCTAGCATCAGAAACTCATTCCAACTTAATCGTAAGCCTAAACTGTAAAGCTTTAGATTTCAGGGCTGAGTAGTAAAGTCATGACATATCATGACCGAACGCTCCCGGCTTCCGTACCACCATGGGCCTTGGAGCGCTGTGCTCCGCGGAATGCAGCGGTGGCGCCGAGAAGAGTTCCGACAGCCAAAGCTGTTGGTGTCAGGGCCTTACTTGTGCGAGAGTGGTACACTCTCACACTCGAAATATCCGTAAGGCACTGAGGAGGGTGCTGGGGTGTAACTTGATCGTTACATGAGTGGCGTCTTGCAGCCAGCAATTCAAACAGGCGATCGAAGCAGTGTGAACAGCGTGCTGTCACGATTCGGAGGGCACACTGACTGCTGCAAAAGGGGGTGAAATATTCGTGGATAGTTCGGATAGTTACACTGAAGATATCTGATCTTGGAGATGCCTTCGATCTGTGAACAGGACACCATGGACACCCGCATGGACCAATGGAAGGAGAAAACCCAAACAGGCGTACGACCTGCCGGAGTGTTGATGAGTGTTGTGTGCGCATGTTCAGTGACAGTCGTGCCTGGCCGGGAGAAAAAAAAGGTACCAGTAACTGGCAACGAAGGAAGCTGAAGCTCAACCAGGAAACATTGCCAACCGGCTTGCCCGCCTCTCTGCTGGCGGACCTCTCCAAGCTCCGCGAAGTCGCGACGCTTCGTTGCACCGGTGCCGCAGGTGCCAGGAAGGCGGAGTCTAGAACTTGCATAGCTGTAAGGAGCAGCTGGGAAAACAGTGGGAGATGCTGCAACAGCTGCGTGGCGGGGCATCATATATGTCCAGACTTTGAGCATGTCAGAGTCATCGCATTTACGACCCCTCCGTGCCAACTCGTCACCTTGAGTGTCTGTTGCCTGACATATCCTGGAAGAAGCTGGAAAAAAATTCGCTGCACCTCCCCATGCCTAACATGCAACCCGGCTTCAACCTGCAAAAGACATTATGTCAATGTCATGTTGCGACATTGCTATGCCTTTCTGGCTTCAGGCTCGTGGTTGTGTGGATGCCACGAGTTCAACATGCCACCCCAAACCAGAGTCGGTGAGTCGGAAACTCATGTTTTCTCACGGCCAATCGTGTACGCGGAATGTAGGTGTACACACCGCGCATGGTGCAGCTTCTTGACGTGGACTGATGCAAAGCATCAGACTTAACGAAGCCACCGCGATGGAATGAGACAGGGCAGGTGGTGTCCGGCTTCTGCGTGTTCCGATGGGCTGAGGGAATCCTCAGAACCACTTACAGTCCGCCAGCATGAACGTGGCTACCCAGGAATTGAATTGCCCTCTCTGCGAGCTCCCGCAGCACACTTGGCCAGTTCGGGAGAACCCAGCGCTGGTTCGCAGTTTTGGTCGTATACGCGTAAAGCAGTAGTGCACATGGCCGACATCGTGGCCTCGCTCAGAACTTGCAAAAGGCGGATGCCTTGCTCAGGCAAACGGACGAGGCCAGCAGTAGATCACCCTTGTCGTCACCATGCCTCAACCGGAGCGCAAATCAAATAGTCCGCATGAGCTTTGAGATACCTCGGCTCACCACTGAACCGTTCTCCTCCGCATTGCAAGTGCCATTGGCTTGCGTCGGGCTGTACCAAACTTCCTTCGGGATGTTCTGCTTGCAGCTTCTTGTGTGATTGCCCAGCGCTCTTGTGCTTGCGATGTCACATGCCATCAGCCGGGAAGCAATCCTGCTCCTGTGGTCATAGAATCTAGGATGCAGCAACGCAGCAAAGCACGGACACCTCGGCTTGTCATGTCGGAAACTACCACAGCTCAAGACTCCCCACAAAGGACAGACCCTGGAGCCACATGGAAAGTATCTTTGCGGCAGGCTAAGGTGTTTCGTGAAGTGAACGATCGCAGCGAAGCTGCGGAGTCATCGCACCAACAGCCATCGGCATCCTGATGGGCACTTTTGTTGAGTCGCAGTCATTGTCATTGGGGGATGAGTAGGTCCCCTGGTCACAACCCGCTGCCGGCACCGCAGGTTGACAGGTGGAGCTACTTTGCTACGTGGAAGGAGGGACAGCCAGGCTATAACAGGCGTCCAACGCAAGCAGTTCAGCTACATTATCCCAGCACCAGCATCCGAAAGAACAATATCCAACGAAGAGCTGCATCAAGTCGTCTCTGCTTTAGCAGCTTTTTAAGTAGAACCGTGTGAAGTCATCTAACACGATACTTACTGTACTCAAAGGTCGAACAAACGATCATGATGTTGTCAATATGAACCTTTTCCCATGTCAGAACTCCGACTAAATGCCTGATAGAGTATGCTCCAAACGCAATGCGAATGAAAAACATGATGTCATGAAGGTCGCAAAATCACACAGTTGTCTTTGCACGCGAAGCTTTTCAAGCATGCACGCTCTGTGCCTGGTGGAAGGACCACCATCTTTCGTTTGGCCGCTGCATGATTCGGCTAGCTCACTCAGCAAACGCTACAATCCGGGAAGCGATGTCTGCATCTGTCATCAGATACGAATCTACGGGCTTGGTCTTCACAGCTTTCGCATAAGCGTCCGCAACTTTGCTGCAAGTCGTAACACGCTTTGGCGGATCGTGTCTGCCCTTCGTGTGATAAGGCCACAGGAAAAGCACGTTGCCTTTGAAGCCTTTCACATTGTTGCCCAACCCCGAGCCATCTAAGCTCTTCGGAAATGTCCCATCAAAAAACCACAGCCAAGGCCCCATATACTCTTGCAGCGCAAAGTTAGGATCTTTCTTAATCTTGGCTTTGTACTGGGCTTCACTCATCTTGTTCAGCCTGTTTTCCAGTACCAAGTTGCCCGATCGCTTGGGGTGGACCATTTTGAACCTAACCGCCCGCACTGCACCCCAGTCTCGACCGTAGACAGCAGGCTTGGCCAAGCCAAGCCAATCGAGAAGTTCCAAAAGGATCGACACATCCGAGTCCAAATGTTTCTCAGCAGTTCCTGGCAGTTTGGGTGCCAATACCTGACGGTTGGTGTCCCTCAATGCCGTAATGAGGCCTTCCAGCTGTTCCAACTCGCTGCCTAAACCGCCCAGAAGAATCACGGTTTCTTCAGCAGCTGATTGCCAGGTGCCCCAAACTTCGATGCTACCCGCCGTCAAAGCAACAGATCCTTTGCCACCGGAGAGGCGCAGTTCATGTGCCGCTTCCGCAATCTTCGCTTTCTCCTGATCTGCTCTGTCCTGCGCCTCTTTCTGTTCCACCTTGTTTTTCACATGTGATGCCTGCATTGCGAAGCGAAGAGTGCTGACGGTCTCACTGAGGGAGTCGGCTGCTTGAGTGACGCAAGCAATGAGGGCGGTCTTACTGTTTCCGCCCAGCCCTGCTTTCAGCAGCATTGTCAAAGGTGACGCGTTATAGGGGATGAAAGCCTTTGTCTGATTGATGTCTGCTTCAATCAGAGACATGACCACTCGTCCTAACGCGGTCAGAGACAAGTTTACATTGGTTGCCTCTGTAAAGCCGTCACCAGTGACTCCACTCTTTGCTACTCGCTCGCTGCCAGCCAGGTCAACAATGAACATGGACGAGAAAACATCACCACCGTCACCTTCTTTCAGTCGCAACATCAAAATGGCATGGCTACGGCTGGAAACTTCATTCATGTCCTGTGCTCTCGTAGCACGCCGCGTTGCTCCCTTGGCGACGGCTCGGAGAATCTCAGAAGCAGACGTGGCCTTGTGGCTTGATAGACCCAGCAGCTCAACTCCAGCTTGGCCCTCGACCAGTTTCCCAAGCCCTGAAGCATCTGCCAACAAATCCTTGAAGTCGTCCAAGTACAGCTGCACGTATTCGTAGTGCAGTTCTTTGCCTGCTGGCAACCTCTCAAACATGTCTGAGAGACTTCTGGTAACGATTCCCGGGTCCTCTGCGGGACCAAAAATCGTGTAGGTCTTTCCAGTCCCGGTCTGTCCATAGGCAAAAATTGTGACATTTGTCCCTGCCAAGAAATCTTGGACAAAAGGCTTTGCTGTGGAATTGAAAACAGCTTCTTGGCTCATAGACTGCTCCAACACACGATTGAATACGTAACTACCCTTCAAGCTGGCATCACCAGCTTGCACGACGATCCGCTGTGGAGGAGGGTCCCGCGGAAAGTCTGTATCGGAGACGGCCAAGCAATTCTCCGACCCCGCTTTCAACTCTCTTTCTAAAAGCGGTCTGATCCGAATGAAGACTGAAAACGTGTCGTTGATTTCGCCCATTTCGATTGAAGTCAACTCCGGCCCCTGCAGCGCTATCTTGACTACCACCTTCCGAGGGGGTGCCGCTACGTAGTCAAAGAGCTCTCGAAAGCAATCCGCTGAAGCTCGGAAAACTAAAGCATGACCGGCCTTGGCCAAAGCAGTTTTCTCCAAGTTGCCGCTCCACCACGTGCCGTCCCTCATACTCTTGATTGGAGTTGGCCCATCTGCATCTTTCACTTTCCAAAGGACAAACGTGCCCAACAGCCCCATCGTGCTCGGATCCAGCAGCAGTTGCGAAAGTTGGTTCAGACCTGAAAGCATCCAAGGCGGTTGAGTTGGATAAAACTTCTCACAGCCACAAAGCATGATATCAGCTCCTCGTGATTCGAGGTTTTCCCGGAGTCCCTTAGGGACTTCTCCAATCTGCACGTTCAGAAGCACATGATGCCCTGCAAACGGAGCACTGTCTTGCGCATAAGCACGCAAAAATGCACAGGCACCTATGCCCTCTGCAAAAACTGAAACACAGCCGTCAGGTATCCTGAGGCATTCTATGAGCCGTAGTAGCAGCTCTCCATCCAGAGCAGACCAGTCTTTGCCTGGCCTTCCACTTGCACGGCCAAAGCCTGGAAGATCCAGAGCCACAACGTGGAATCCTTGCTCTGTCATAGGTAACCAGAAGTGGCTCCACAAGGCCATGCAGCGATCATCACCAAAGCCGTGAAGACAAAGAGCCACGCGAGATTCTGAAGCTTCTGCTTCAGCCGCTTGGAGGCATCGAAGGGGCATCGTGTACTCGATGCCTCCTAGGCAAGTCTTCGCCACGTAGCCGACAAGTCGAGAGAAGAGCAGCCTCTCGTCCTCACTGAACGTATCGCCCCGGCCGAAGAAGGCATCCGCATCCTCCATGCCCTGTGGCTCCAGGAACATTCGCTCCGTCGACGATGGAAGAACTTCATGGGCCGAGGCGTCCGATGCGCCAGAACCCATGGCAGGCTGTTAACGCAAGCAAAGGACTATGGGAAGTACCGCAAAATAAAACAGACTTGATTGTGCGCTTGGCCGGCCCTGGGAATTCTTGCAGCACGTGTCCAGCCAGTACTCTTGAATGCCCCAGGGATATAAGCTATATAAGCCTTCAGCCCTTGCTTCGCCTTCAAAGCCCTTCAGCGTCACGGTCTCCCGCTCTATGCTGGCGAGCGGAAGAAGAACTCAGACCTTGTTATTATCATTATTGTAGCCCAAACCCCGACAATTGAGCCTACAGTCTCTCCAGACCCTGACGATGCGACGTTGCAAACTCTGAAGCCCGAAGACCCAGACCTTAAGGATGTGACCCTACAGCCTCGCGGGTGGCGGTGACTCTGGATCCGGTGAAAGAAATGCCTTTGGAGAAGTCGAGGGAACTCTTAGACTCAAGAAGAACCGGGGGCGGAGCACTGGTGTTTAAAAGGCATGCAAGAAGCACGATCAACATGGCGATTACGCTCGCAGCCACACCCGGAGCTCACCCTCACAGCGGTTCGAGTGGCCCCAACGATTGGAAACGTCAAGGTGCTGAACTGGTCGCCGCTGTTATTGCAGGATGCGCGCTCGCAGTCCTCGCGTGCATTCGGGAGTTCTAAATTTCCGAAAGCCGCTGGCATCCGCTGGCGGAGAAGAAGCACCATCATTGTGAGCCCCATGGTTCTGACCCACTTATATGGTTGATTCTAGGCCTCAGTCTATACAATGCAGGCAATCGGCCTCTGAGCGCCGCCTATTAAGCGGCCGATTGCAAATCAAAGCAGCGGGTCGGACATGGCACACTGTCAGTAGGCCTGGATGGCACCAGACACCTCCACAGATTTGGAAAAAACGCCTCCGCACTTGCAGCTGGCACCTGGCAAGCAAGGTGGGCAGAGCAAAGGCAAAACTTGATACCCACGTCGAACCGAGCTGACTTGCTCGCATCAACTTGGCACGGCACCAATCTGCACTTGCAGCACTTGGCAAGGCTTGGGCTCCTTGGGCGTTGCTGGCGTGGTGGTTGTTGTCGCGCTCCTGATGGTGTTCAGGAGGTCGCTGGGATTCGGGGCTTGCAAGAACTTCGACAATTCAGCTTCGGCATGTCCCGGCAGAATGTACGCTAATTGGAGCATAAGGAGGATATGAACCGACTTTCGTAAATGCCGTCGACCGCAAGCCTAGAACCTCATCCCCGGCGCCCTGCATGCTCCCCCCGCCCGCCTGTACTTCAACTTGGGACAATCGCGCCCATGCTCCTTCTGGGTGGGCTTGTGGTGAGCTTTCACCAGATTGCCTCAGCTCCAGCGCCCAGCAAGCCGAAGCGAGACCTACCTGCAGACTCGACACTCCATCTTCCAGCAGGACTTCGAATGCTAGAAGCCCCATACCCACCACAAGCCCAGGCACAGTCGAACTTGTAGGGGCAATGGCTCCCTGTCTGATAGTTCCAAACACCTTAAATCTCGAAGAGTTTGGACAACAACTCGCTCCCAAACGTTGGGCTTCGCACCGGCTTCGTCTTTGCTGCTCAGTGCTCCGAGGATCTTGTGGGGACTGACTCGCACATACTTGCACCAAACCAGGCAAAGTCAGCCCCAGAAGCACTGGTCAATCTGCCGCATCTTCAGCCCCTGCGGCTGCTCCTGAGTGAAGTACAGGTTGGGTTCCAGGATGAAGAATTGCATTCAGCACGAGTAGTGAAATATCCAGAAACAACAGACAAAATCGAAGAGACTGCGTGAAGCAAGCGCCTGCAACATCTAAAACCCGACAATCTGCATCTTTACATGCGCAGTAGAGGAGCATTAGCAAAGCAACAGTAGTGATCGCTGTAGTGATCGCTCGACTATTCATGCTACAGCAATCGCACGAAGAGCGCTAAAGACGGGAGACCTCCTGAAGCGGCCAGTCGAGCAGAATTGCACATCCAATAAAGTCCCTGCATGACCATTCCAACTTTAGCACCCTGGACTAAAATGCCTGCTACCCGTAGTAACAATGCTTTTTCAAAGCGTGCACGGCAGCGTGTCAGAGTCCAATTGACATGGGTGATCAGACCATGGCTCGAAAGCAGGCACTTCCGCAGCATCCAGTGCTTTCTTGGCCTGTGGGACGGAAAGGCGGCTTGTTTGCTGTGCTGCTGGATGCTGATGGCGGCTGTAGCAAGTGTGCGAGAACCCTAAACTTCCCGAAATCCTATCGGCACAAGAAGCTAGGCTAGGTTGAGCACTGATAGCACGGCTGTGCATCGTCAGTGGTTTTCTCGTGGAAGCTTTCGAACCCAATTGAGCTGCACGAGTTTGGTGCGGCCTTCGCACTCCGATGGTAGTAGAGCGTGTGGAAATATCCCTGACCACCTTGCTTGCAGGCGGGACACAAGAAGACCCCGAACTCCAACTACAAGCGCGGGCTATGTAGAGGGTTTCGCAGAGAGCATGTGTGCAACAAGCAACAGCGCCACAGAGACAAGAGCGAGAGAGGGTGGCCAGGCCACACTCTGCCCCCACAAAGTAGCCGCCAGCAGGCTTGAAGCCTCCACCGCCCCAGCCGCTGGTGCGGTCGAAGGTGATGTTCCAGGCAAAGAGCCTCGAGCAAATCGGAACATCGCACAAGCTACCGGCAGCCCTTTAGTGACTTTAGTGCCCTCTCAAAACAGCCCACTCTCGGGCAGGAGACTTGGCGCCTGGAATCAGTACGCTCTCCACCTCTCCTGGGCCAAGACACTCGGCAGCCCGAAGAAGTCGCCGGTCCGGCCGGAGCGCAAAGAAACCTTCCACACTGCTTTAGCACGTTTGCAAAATTCGCGATTCTGTTCATGGCTGGAGCCCATGTGCGTGTGTGAGTGAAAGTTTGCGATAAGATCGAAGTCCGCGTACTCGAAATCGTGCTTGCGTTCTTGAGGCCTAGGGCTAGGGGTCGGCGCAAGCAACTGCGCATGCCCCAATCGCAGGATCTCGACTTGAAATAGCTGCCAAGCACCCGACCTGCCTTGCGGACGTAGCAAGTTGTGCTCGTCCTAAACCTCCCTATACGCTCTAGGTGCACAAGACTGCGCTCTAGACAGAAGCCCAGTCAGTCAGTCACTTCTCTGCGGCCATTGGCATCGCTTTCGATTGTCAACTCGTCAGCTACGTCGACGCCAGGCAGCCTGGCAAGTGCTGCATCCTTCTTCACAGTGCCTTGGCTCAGTTCAGTGGTGGGTGACCGCGTGCAAGCACACCACAGTACGCCTTCCTTCCATGAAGGCTTATTGTGGCACGCTTCCCGCCACTGCCTGTCCAGTTCATCCAGCGGCAAGCGTCTACCTGCTGCGAGACTCGGCAAACTTAGACAGCAAAGACTCCGTCATAGCAAAATAGCCTCCTGGATAGTCCTTTGCTTATCTGCCTTGCTGACTCGTCCGGCTTGGCCGCTCCGTGCAATATGCCCGTGCATGAGCCCAAGGTCTGAACGCCCTCTCGGCGACTGCCAAGGCACGGCGCACCTGCGTACCAATAGAAAGCATCTAAGCCTCGTTGATGCATCCATCCACGAAAGCGAATGTATTGTACCTGTATACTCAGAGGCCTTTCTCATTGTCTTGACAGGAGGGTCGAAGTCTTCGACACCACCTGGCCGCGAGGCGATGCTTGCCTTGTTCCTGTCGTGGCAGCACACACTCCCTCTGCTTCCAGGATTCCACGCGAAGGGCGTACTGAACATTGACAAATACTGGGAGTCCGGGATCTGCTCCGGGCTGGTTGCAGAGGCCAAGTGCCCTTCGGGCATGGGCGGTCCTGTGTCGCTTTCGTGGCATGGGGTTCTGCTAACATCTCTTGGGAGCAGTGATGCTCCGCGTCCGAGCATAGAACATGTCACCAAATTCGTGTGTCTGGTCTGCAGCCTCCAGCCCCATCTGTGCTTATGCAAACACCCTGACACTTATCGGCCTCTGATAGCCCTGCTTTTGTGTAAGCTAATGCTGTTGCACGTTTAGGCCCATGCTTGAGCCAAATCAGCTCCCTCTCTCTTTCCCGCCCCTTGCATCTGTCATCTCCTGCACTACCTGGCCAGGTCGATGAGGCCACCGCCGCGAAGATTTCTGACAGCCAAGGAGCCGATGTTGAGGGGCTCGCCGACGCCGCCGGAAGTGCTGAGAAAATAGCCTTTGCTGAGACTGATATCTGTACTAGCTTGGAGTTGTGTCATTGTATCGGCCGTAATTAGCCATCTTTCCCCGGCTTCACAGGATAAAATTTGCATGGGAAGCAGCATTGTATGTCGCTACGCATGTATTTAAGGGAGACTACATAGCCATGTTTACTCGTTTCACGAAATTGCACGTCTGCCAACAGATGTTATTGCTCGCAAACGCTATGGACACACATATTATGCACATGTCGAAATTTCTCAACGTATTGAGTGGGCGGATACGACGGACAGACGGTACGCATCATCATGGTCTTACTGCTGACATCTTATGGCTTTCCCTCAACGAGGAGGAGAGCTGGGCGCCAAACGCTCTATCCTCTGCCTCTGGGAGACCCCTTGCAGATGCCGCATCATTCTGCGTCCACTTGTCCTTCTAGAACCCAGTGCCAAAACAAGGGATGTAATGGCTGTACATCTCAATGACCGAGACAAGGCGCCCAGGGAAGCGCAACGGAACACAGCTGAGACGGAACCTTGTGCAAACATGTGAGCCCCGAAGAAGTCAACTCCCTGATGTTTTCCGCCTAGTCGGCTTCATGCCACAAGCCGAAGACTTGCAGAACGTTCGGGAGGCAAACTCGCAACCAACATGGGAGCCTGCAATAGAAAGCTTCATGAGTCCGGAAGATCCTACAAAGTCGGCTGAGCAGGGCTCTGTGGAACTCCACATCTTGGTCGTAGAAGGCCACGGCATCGAAGGAGTCCAGGCCTGGACGAAGCTGCCAAGCTCTTCCATACTAAAGCCTTGAGTTGGAGGGTTGAAATTATTATTATTATTGTTGTTATTATTAGTGTTATTACTATTATTTATTTTTGGGATCCTACTATTTAGGGTACTATAGATGGTATAGAGGCTCTGATGGAGCACGTACAGAAGGCCCGGCTCCCGGCCCTCGGGGTCCTACGTGGCAGGGAATACTTCGAGCTCGATTTGGTGCCTTCTGCGTGCGACATGTCGGCAAGCATCTCCACTCAACATGACTCTACATAGACAGGCACAATATCCAGATTCAAACAAAGCTCGAGGGAGGTTACAGCACCAAAAGTCCGACCCTTAACTTCTGCCAAAGATCCGGTGGTGTGAAGGCGGACCAAGTCTTGCGGTCCACACCAACCGTCCACTTTGCCTGATCATCCGCTCAGCCACCACCCTAACTTGCATTTAGAGTGAGGGAGCCATGAGAAAGTTCTACACTCTCCCTGTGCTGCGCCTGGGTGCCAATTGTCTGGCCACCACTGCAGCTCAGGGGGAAGTTCCCAAGGCACTTTCACAACCTCCAGGCTCAAAAGATGAAACGATTCATGCCAAGGCCTGAGGAAGCTCCGGCTGGGCGTAGTCCAAACCTATGACCTGTGCCCTTGACTTGGTGACCAAAGGTAGCACTGACATACCAGCCTGGACTCCGAACTGCTTCAAGCGGCTCCTGGGCTTTTGCTGAGACAAGGGCGTCGGGACTGGGGCCGCGATTTGACAAGGGCCTGCACGGAAGGCGTCTCCCGATGCAGCCGAGGCTCCAATGAGTCTCGCGCAGCTTGCCCACGTGTGCAGTTGGTATCAAAACCTGTCTTGCTGTGTACACATTTAGGAAAAGGACAATCATCATTATCGCGTCGGCTCTGGTGTAGTATTCTGTGGCAATGGACAGATAATACGCATCTCGACGAATGATAGCGCTGGTCCTGCTACAGTTTTACTGTAGTGATTACGAGTGCACGCGCCATATACTCGCAGCACCTGTCCAATGCAACGACCGTTCCTACAATCACTGCCATTGTGTTCAGTGTTTGCGCGGTCATGCTAGCTACACCCGTCTTTTTTCATTACAGTGGTCACATTCCACTCCCTGGCCACGACCACGACAACGACAGCAACGTCATAATCAAAGTGTTTACTCGTCAATATCCCGACATATTCATCACGATGTCGGTCCTGGGCTCCTACCACGCTGACCAACTTCGGCCAATCAAGTCGAACTCCACTCAGATGCGCCGAGAAACCACGATGTCCACCGTCGCCGTCGTTTGCTGCTGGATCCTACGAGCAGAGGCATCCACATGGTGGGACACTTGCACTGTAAAAGCAAGTCCTGTCCGCTTCTTCCCGCATGTTCTCGAGGTACGGCAACCAGTTTTGGCCTGGCTGCTGAACCTCCGCAAGGTTTGGGAGGTATAAAAACATGAGTCGCGACACCGACCGCGAGTCGCGACACCGACCGAGGGTTTCGCCCATGCTGCAGGTTGTAACAGACGGAAAAATACCAGATTCCATAAGTCTCGGCCATCGACAGGACCATCAAAGAAGAAAGCAAGCTTTGTTGTGTCGCGAGCTACAGGCTGCTGCTGCCGTGTGTAGAAGACTTATGATTGTTTCAAGGAGTTCTTCGTTGTGGTGTTTCTCCCTTGAGCCTGGGCCAGGACGAAGGCATATTTCCCACCAGGAGGAGCTTGCGATGCGCCTTAGCAAAGCGCAGCTCAGCAGTGGCATAAAAGGTCGAACACCAAACGAAAGACCTTCCAGCCCTTGCGTCTTTGGCGCATGTCTCCACATCGAAGCACTCCTTCCACGCGTGGCCATCACTGCAGCAGCGCTCGCAGCCCTTTTTGGCACCAGCCGTCCTTTCTGTCACCCGAGGATTTGCCACTGTTGGCCAAAGCACCCCCCAGAAAGCTGACAGCTGTGTTCCGAAGAGCAGAGATGATGATGATGACGAGGATGATGATGATGATGATGATGATGACGGTGGTGGTGAAATCAGATGCATTTGTCACCCGAAGCACCAATCCCCAAAAAGCCCAAGTGTGCTGCAGATCTTCAATTCGTTTGGCACCGGCCCGTCCTGCAGGTTGGCCGGGTGACCTCGGCAGCCCTCGTGACCATCTGCCTGCCACTTCAGCCAAAGGTCTTGCAAGCTCCCGTTGTCGGCATCGGGATCCAGACACAAAAAAAATACGGTTAGACATGGCTGGCGGAACCGGGCAGTGGCTGTCACTGACGGCGGCTTCGATGAACAGTATGCGGGCCGCTCATAACATGGTACCGGAGCGCCCACCACAGTAACGCAGCATCTGCGTATTCCCCTCCCTTCATGCGTCTTTTTTCGACATTGCGTCCATGGCAATTCCATCTCTAATTATTTGGCCTTCCCGTCTTCTATGGGCCGAACGGCCAAATATTCTGGAAACTGAACAGCCAGACATCCGCTGATCAATCAATACTACTTTCGCGCAGATGCATGTTTCTGTTTAGGGCAGGAACGTTTCACAGCTCCTGTGTAGATACGTGGACTCTGTGATTCTGAATCGTTTTCAGCCTTGGAGTGTAGTTAATGAGATTGGATGCCAAAGTCGACGGCATGCTGGTATTTGGGTCAATTTTGCCAGTCTATATAGTTCATAATCCTCATCCGTCTGTGCGCGACCCCCGGCCCGTAAATGTTGGAGCCTGGAACCATGAGTCTGTGCGGACACCTGATCCTGAGCGCCGACCCATGTTTTGGGGCTCATTGGTTATGTTGTAAGCACCGGCAGATGGGCTGCGACAGGCCTGCAAGGCAAAAAAGGTAACACTCAAACCTTTCTATGCCATAATTTCGGGCACGTGCACTTGCACGATTAGCGAGCATATATCTATGTGTGTACATATACACATAAACAGCGTGTGTGTGCAGATGTATACGTCTACTACATTCAGGCTACACGAGAGAGCAGGGCTGAACAGTAAATGTCTGGGTGTGTGAGCGAGAGAGAGAGAGAGAGAGACATACGGGATGGACACGACTGCTGGGCAAGTTCTCATTGGGTACATCTATGTCTCCCTGCACTCCACTACGCCCCTCTTGGAACGGCCGGCCTCCGGACTTCCTTCCATGGATCCGGTGGCTCTCGCGGAGCCTGGCAGTGGCATACGTATGCGGAGGTTCTGCGTGTGCGTGTGCGCCTAAGCATGTATGTATAAATATGTATATATATATATATATAAATATATATATATATACATATATATATATATACATAACATGTGTGTGAGTTTTATGCATATGTATATACATATATACATACAGATACAGCTACACATACACATTACACATCTACATGAATACGTACACCCGTACGTGTATACGTGTGCCATCTGACCTAATCCTAACCCAAGTGTGCAACACACTCAAGACTCGTTTCAGAAAGCTCGTGCCACGAAGAAGGGAGGGTGGTTTCAACGCTAGATTTATCATCTGGAATGCAAAGCTGTTTTTCAGGCAGCTGCATAAACAGTATCCTAATACTTGGCTACACACTCCCAAAATATCTAAAATGACAATCCTCGGCCGACGGCTTCACGTATACGACGCTAGCACTACAAAGCTGCAGTCTCGGCCCAAACTCCGATTGTGGTCAGATTTCGTAAGCGCAGTAGTTCATTACACACACTCGTCGGCTCAGCTTCGTATGCGAAACATTCCCCGGTTTCTAAGCACAGCTTGTATGTGGCAAATCTCTCGCAGCTCCACTTTTTAGGCCTTCTGAAGCATGCGATACATAATGACAGGTGTAAGCGCTTATAAGTTATAAACTAAACATTCTCTGCCTGTAGGGTTCTTACACTGTTGGGTAGCATGGGGTCAGATTTTCATAACCGCAGTCACCCAAAAATGCCGAGCACAACACAAGTATTCGTCGGCTCAGCTTCTTATATGAAACATTCCTCTGCTCTTATGTGCTGCTTCTACGTGGGAGGTCTCACGGTAACTGGATAAAGCCCGCAGACCAATATACCAATGTGCCCATGAGGCTGAACCCGAAACCTGAAAGGCAGCCTTACACTGTGGACTTCTCCGTCGGACAGTTGATGGCCAAAGAGTATTCGGTCAATGGCCCCCAATAATAGGACTTCCTACTCCCCATAGTAATACGGCCTCGCCATTACGGCTCCCAGTGCCAACACAAGACCTGCTGATAGCGCCCCTACTACTTGTAGTTTGGTTGTATGCTAGTGGCTCCTATTTACTCCACCTCCTGCTGGCATGACGACGACTACTATGGCGGAGAGTTCTAATTACTGAAGTATTCGGCGAACTCCTTTTGCTTTCAATGGCCACCTGCTAGTACTTGTGTTTTAATTAGCTTCAATTGCGAGCCCCGAACCGACACATCCCTGAGCTTAACATCAGGGGCGATACATGTCCACGACAAAGGATTCAGATTGAAACTGGTTTCCGCTGAATCGCGATGATAATTAGATGTATTGCGAGGACTACAAACCCCAAATCCTACACATGAAAAGCAGACCACCACCCCAGCAGCAGTGTCTTGGAACTTTTCCACTCCTCATCTAAACAAATTGACAAATATCGACTCCAGCTGAAAAGCTTTGACTGTGCTACTCTTCCTGCTACTGGTGGAATGTTCAATGCTGCTTTCTAACCTCTTCCGTTTACAGTGTTTGATGTCTTTGCGGGCTTACCTTTCGACTAACCCAGAAACTGTGTGGGCCCCTACGGTTCAGAAAACCCAAAATCCAAAACCTGTGGCAGCCCGGAAACTGTTGAATGTGTTTGTTTTCCTGATTCTTAGGGTGTTTTTGGTTCTGGTGGAAAAGCAAGCAAAACGGGGTTTCGTTGATGCAAAACCAAAAAACTCAAAAAAGTTCGAGGAAAAACAACAAGTGTAAAAGTTCCAAGATTGCCCGTTAAGGTTTTGTATTTTTGGCGTGTTTTTGTTTGGTGATTCGGTGCAAATCAAAAAACAACCTGATAGGAGCCACGAACCCGAATGCAGTTGCGCGCCCGATAGCAGCAGGATTATCAGTTCTAGGTCTCGCGACCAGGACCCCCTCGGCTGGGGGCTGGGGACTGGGGGCTGGGGGCTGGGGCGCGACACTCGCGAACGCTTGCGGACGCTGCGCACGCATTCCGCGTTAACTCCTAACCCCCAGACCCCCAACCTTCAAACGAGAACCGTTCTGCTACGCATTCGGGAAAAAATCGCAAAATCCAAGAACCTTTTGTGGTGGCCCTGACATTTTGGTTTTTGATCCCAATGTTTCTTTGGTGTTTGTTGGTTTCGCCTTGACGAAACCACTTTTTGATTTTCAGTGGAAAACAAGAAAAACTAGTGAATGTTGATATTTCTGCTGCGTTTCTGGGCGAGAAGCAAAACCCAATAGCAATGTTTGGGTTTTGGTGAAAAACCAGAAAAAGGACATGGCTTCGTTGATGCGGAACCCCCAAAAAATGATTCCCTAGGTTTTTGTTGGTGCTTCACCGGAGATCCAAAAACCAAGGTTTTCTTGTTTCACGAAAAATAGAAAGTAACAGAAACCCAGCATAAATATACAAATTCCGACTGAAACAAATCGTTTCGTTCAGGCGAAAAAACACCAAACAAACCTTAGGAGCAACAAAAACACACAAACATTTCAGGGCCACCACAAAGGCTTTGGATTTTTGCTTTGTTCGTGTCCGTCGTCGTATGGTCTCTTTAACTGTTTCTTGCACTTGACTGGACACATATTGAGACTGAAGCGGGCATGAGTGTGCAGGACTTGGGTGGCGTGGTCTCTGCACATGCTTCTTGCTATTTTTCGCACACATAGTTATTAAGATAAAAGCGGACATGAATGCGCACGATTCGAAAAACACGAATCCCTCCCAAGATGCGAATCTGACGGTATTTTATAATGGAAAATAGTCCAAGGTAGGCCATGAGGGGTGTGTCCTTATGTTTCTATGTAGCTGCATGTGCACATGTATGATTACGTAGGAATGTCTGCATACATGCATGTCATTGAATTTGCATGTCTGCATACATGCCTGCAAGCATTCAGACATGCATACTGGCAGTCAAACAGACAGACAAACAGACAGGGTTGAAGGTAGAGCAAAACTTTTGTGAGTATGATTCGCGAATGAAGAGACTACAGTCCTGATCGCTGCTCTTTTTGTTTCTGGTGTGGTCGTAATCTTCGCTGTAATCGTGGTATTGCCATGAAGGCTTTGGACGAGAGGCTAGGACTCTCGCAACTCTGCAATCTAGGCGAGGCTGTTCAGGGCGCACAAGCAGAATCCAGGGCGGCTAAGTTCATCTAGTCATCGCACATTGACGAATGCCAACAACCCAGACCTTACATCGTAACCACCAGTCCTTCGAAAGAAACACCGGTACGACGACCACGCTTTGCCTGGACTGTATCGTCAGCATGTGAGACCAGCTCAGAGGAAGCAGGCAGTGTGTGTATCCACTTGTACATGTAGCTTCAGGTGCAGACTTTGCCGAATGAGCAGTTTGCGAAACTTCCTAAGTGGGTTATCTTGACGTGCTGACCATTTCTGCAATCCCAAGTTGGATTGTGCAGCCCCTTCATTCTGAGTGTCGGGCCACTTGCCCGAGCTGGGTCTCCAGATATGCTGTTGAATGACTCTTTGCAAGGTGGCCGACGTGGAACAGCCCCTAGCTGGCTAAAGCTCGTGTCATAAGTGCCGGATATCTATTGACAAAGCCCTGTGCCTCCCATCTCCACCTGCCGCCTACTCTTCCTGCCGGTCGTGACTGAGACTTGCAAGATCTTCCAAGCAAACCCTTGGCTTGCCGCTATCGGCTGGATGGCCGCTTTGCCGAGATCTGGCATGACACCCGACCCGAACCCAAAACAGCTCTGAAACAAAACTGTCAGTCTTTTGTTGTGATGCATGGCCCGTTGCACACCCGTGCCTCCGTAGATGTGACGGCTTTGGCGACCAAGGCCGCTGTGGTTGCAGTGGTGGGAGCAATGGAGATCGGGACAGTCAGCAGCTGAGCACCGGATGCCGCTGGCCTCCACATCTGCCAGTCTCCAACATCTCAGAACGACAGGAGACGAGCAAGGGCGCTCCAGAAAACATTCCATGAAACCGCAATAAAAACGCAGAGACTCCTTCCCCCGGGGCCTTGTGTTTGTCACCTCTACGTCTCTTCCAGGTGGCTCCTGGTCCTTCAGCGAGCTCAAAGCGGCCAAGGCGGTTTCCGTGTCGCCATCTTTCAGATTGGACCCGATCTCCTCATCTCCACGGGCACGGAATCTCGTGAACCAGTTGAGGCTGAGTTGAGGCTGCTCAACCCGTCACACCTTCCCAAAAAATGCTGCAACACCTCAAAAAGAGATGTGAAAGGGTGCAAATCAAATCCAGAAATACTGGCACAGGAAGCAAGCTAAGTGCGCGAAACAGCGCACTGGTCCTCGACAACCTCTGCATACTGCGAGTGCCATCCCATGTCCTCCGACCAAAGCTTCAGATTCAGAGACATGCAGAACGCGGGACAGCAAAGCTCTGGGTTTCAGAGACACTCATATTTGTGCGACCAGCCGCAGGCACTGGCACCACTGCGAATCACAGGACGATCCAAAGTCACGCAGGCGCGCCTTCAGCTTATTTTGCGTGAGGTACGTTGCAGTTGCGCTCAGCACCAAGAGCAGCAGAGCCTTTGCAAAGCAACGATGCGTGGATGGATTCAAGCACTGCTTGAGTGTCAGAAGCATTCGTGGTCGGTTGTCCTCAGAGCACCTCCCCTGCTGCGGATCTTCACAGGTTCTCTCCGCTTACAAATAGACATCCGAAATCTACACCTTGGCTTGTAACGGCTGTCCGAAGCTGTCCGGCGGGTTACTGCATGAAGGATGTGCCAGCGGCAGCCACCACTTCTGGAGCTGTGTCTGGCCATCGCGCAGAGCTGGATTCGGAGGTAATGCTGTGGTAGCACGGCTGCTGCTGATGCTCTTTGTGTGGATGCTGCGGGCGCCCATGGTTACAGCGTAGCATGAACGTGTCGCGATTATTACGTTGTCCTGCAGCATTTGCGGCTCGCTTCCTTGGGTTTTTGTCTTTGCCTTCACAGGGAGCCCTTCTACCGCCGTAAACTAACAGAGACCGTTCAAGCAAGGCCCTAATGAAACTAGGTCGCACGCTCGTGGGGCGCCGTGCGACTTCCAACGGTTAGAATTGGCTTGTTCCCCAGGTTTTTGCATTATTTCTATAAAAAATCGTTATTGCGCAAGAGTCGAAACTATTTATGTTTATATGCACATTTCCGCGTTTGAAAGTTTTTTAGGCTTCGGTTTCTTAGACTACCTCGATCAGTAGGTTGTTAGGATTAGATTGGATTAACAAGGAACGGGTTGTGGGCAATGCTTAGCATGGTCATGTTGCTTCGTATGGGCTTCGGGCAAGGTTTATCTAGCATTGTACGGAACGGGCTGTGGGCAATACTTAGCATGATTATCTTACTTCATATGGCTTGCGGGCAAGTTGTGTTTTGGAGCAGTAGACAACGGCAGCAGGCAATACGCAACATGATTATCATACTTCCTCTGGCTTGTGGGCAAGGTTTATTTAGGATGAGTAGGGAACTGTCAGTCGGCCGTACTTAACATGATCATCGTACTTTCTATGGCTCGTGGGCAAGTTTTATTTAGGAGTAGTGGGGAACGGGCAGTAGGCAATATTTAAAATGAATATGTTACTTCGTATGGGTTGTGGGCAAGGTCTAGAAAGGATTAGTGATTCGTAGGGAACGGGCAGTAGGCAGTACAGTACTTAACATGACCATCTTAGTTTCTGACTTTCTATGAGTTCTAGGTTCTAGGCAAGGGCCAGCCTAATTCTTTTTGCGTGAGCTCCGCCGCAGCAACAGACTAGAAGGGCGCCAGCGCAGCGTTGTGACATGGCGACCCCACTCCACGCAGCGTGTGATCGCGGACGTGGTCAAAGCCAGCCATGCAAACAGATGCATGGCCAAAAGTCTTTGGGGGGCAGACTGTCACAGAAAGAAGAGTAAACAAGCCCAGAGACATTGTTATTCCCCCCTGCCCACCGCCCCAATCATCGTGGAAGTCGTGAGATCGTGAATCGTGAGATGCGCAACAGGTTTTTGCAGGAAACGCAGGAATGTCCAGCGACAGCTGCCGAGCGTGTCACCAACCAATTGAAACGCAACCTGGAACTTGACTCGGCAAACTGCATCTCTGAGGCGGCTTATCATTGTACGACGACATCACACCCTGCCAGCTGTTACTGCCAACATGGCAGCAGTGTATCTTTTTCTCGCTACGAGCTGCGATGTTCACAAACGCTTGTGATGATGATCAGCAGAGCGCATCCGCCTGCCCAGACCAGTGTCATCATGCTCCGCGTCAACACAAAGCCACGTCCCACGAGCGCTCCAGTCATCCGGGCGAGCACAAGCATCGAACAGTGACCCGGCAGCAAGCTCCAAAACGCCGTTATGATGGGCCCCTTCGTCATTCGGCTGCACTGCCATGGACTCGATGACGCCCAACATCTTGATTTTCCAGGTGTAAATGGTTGCGTACCTCTGTCAGCAAACACACATTGTGCTCATGACCACACACACACACACTGCACACACACGCACACCTTTTCAATGGTCGCAATGCACACTCCGCCACGCGGCAGGGAATCCTGCCGCTGGCGCATCCGCGAGGCCTACACAAAGCCACATGGGTCTACACCGGGCACAAGCCCATGCCAACACAGCCCATGCCGGGGCAATTACGAAGCACCGCCCACTCCAGGGGCCACATAGACATAGAGACACTATAAGAAGGGGAGGGTGGGGAATTGTGTGCAGCAAGCAGAGGCTGCACACAAGCTCACTTAACACCTGTGTGTTCGCTGCATGCTGCAAACTGCGCGCAACGTCTTCACGGCCACCGTCGCCCTGAGGATATGCCCCTCGTGAACCGAACCGCTGATTCCTCGCCCCAGCGTGCGGCCGGTCATGCTTTGGAGCTCCATCGGAGCTACGTGGATGTTCAACCGCAGTTTTTTGGCGGCCGGCCACACCAATCTCAACTTTTTGGCGGACTCGAACGATGGCTCTTGACCGTCGGCTTGCCTTTTGCGACCGAATTGAGGCTTGGGCTCGTGTGCGGCTCGCTGCCTGCGGCGCATGCTAAACTTGAAAGTCGCGGCCTGAACGCTGTCTGGAAACAGGAACTGAAAATGCTGCTCCCGTGTCTGGTTGGCCAGGAGCTGGAGATGCTGCTCCCGCCAGGGGAGCAGAAACCCAATGGCCTAGGACCAAGGAACCGGCGATGATTTTGCTAGCACCCCAAGGATCGATGGGCAGTGATGTGAGGCAGCTCAGGGCCTCCCAAATCACAACGGCACCCAGAGCTACGCAGGCGCTGTGTGGACAGTGCTCACGTGACGACCTGAAGCTTAGGTGCAATAAACCTTCGATCATGTGCGACCTTAGCAATTGTACTGTAGTGAAATACGAGAACACGGCTTCTTGGAATTTGAACTCGAGCCTGGCTACTAGGAGCACCAGCAAAGCTTTCGCACAGGCCAGCAAATCAGAGTGGAGCAGAAAGTATCTATCATGCTGTTTTCATATCTGGGTTCAAACCATCTGCTTCTGTCTGGGGCCTTCTTTGCTGTTTCTGTATTATGTATGGTTACTCTCGTCTCATCACAGTGATTGAAGGTTAGCCGGCAAATTGTCACTGTACTATGATTACAACAGCATCCTCTATTGTAGTACGTATTGTGGTAGGATTTCATTCCCGTTCCCCATGTCCTAGTTGCCCGTTATAAGCCTTCTTGGCTTATGTTCAACCCCAACAAGTGACTTCTGCCACCAAGCGTCGGGGAGCTTAATACTGTAGCTGTTCTGTTGTTTTTTCCCACCCGCTTATTTTGTAGGGGGAAGGGTTTTGACTCACACACACACACTCGCAGGGTTTGAACTCTCGCTCTCGCACGGAGCAGGCAAGGATCCACACTCGGAGGGTTTAAAAGGGTAGGGTACATTCTGATTGCAATTTCGGATTGAGGTTCATGGGTCTACGAGACTTGGCTGCACGAATGAGTATATTCATGTTTCATTGGTATTGCGACTATCGCGATTACTAGAACTAACATGATTATTGTAACTATTACTGCTGTTCTTGCAACAAGCGCAAGAAATTAAGTTTGAGGAGTTTAGGCGGAGCTACGGGAGCTTGGGTCCGGGGCTTGTAAAGCTTTGGTTTATGGTTGACGCTTTAGGGTGAACCGGAGTGTCTCCCTTACTGCGCACCCCCCAAACCCTGAACCCTTATGCTCATCTGGGCCTAGTCGCTCGGCAGTGTCTAGCATCACCGAAACATGTGGGTAGTTCTCCAGTACGGCACCCTTATAAAAAGGAACCCTAAAAGGGACCCTAATTTAGAGAACTACCCATGTTAAAAAGTTGCAAATTGTGCTGGCGCAGTGCCCTCCAGGATGGCCGGGGGACGGAAGAATTGCATAGCCCTTTGGGCACTCTTGTGGTGCACGCACTGTGAATGCTGAACACGCGAGCGGACTCTGTAGAACGAATCTTCGCAACCTCCAAGGATGGGGAAGAAAGTAGCACACAAGAGCAGTGCGGGAGCAATAGGATGAAATACGAAGCTGTCTGCAAAGCTCTCAACAGCTGCTCGGTGCCAGACATGTTGCAGGCAGACAGAGACGACCAGGTTCGTCAAGGATTGCGGCGATCTTCCAAAAATAAATCGTGTAGGGGCTGTCAGCTCACAGCCACAAAACCTAACATTTTATGCGCAGTCTTTGAGACCTGACGCGAGCTACTGACATGTGTCCAATTACCGTGCGAGACCCGGTGTCAGCAGAGAGCTGTGAAACCGCTGCAGCACCGCAGATCACCCGTCACGCGGGGCGTAGTAATGTAATTGTACAAAAATAAAAAAAAACAAAAGAACCGTGATTCTTGGTGCAGCGGCCCCACCTCTCAAAAGCGCAACGGCATGTACAAATCGTGAGGGCTTCGGCAAAGGCGCAGTTTCTCATTCGATCTCCCATGTCGAGATACCAAAATGACTACACCCTGGACTGACCAAAAAGACGGCGGAAATCAGCATTCGAGACCATTCCCGCCACTGGGGCGTTGTACAGGTCCCAGTGCGATCCTCAGCTCCAGCGTCGCGGAGCAGAGCGGGAACCTGGCCTTTGGCCTTTCGCCTGGCTTATCAGAATCCTCTACACAAGGCGGTTCCTCTGGTGCGACCTACTCGGGCATCAATGCTGGAGGCAACGACAACACCATCATCAGCAGAAGCACAAACCAAGCTTTGTACGGATTTGCACTGCATAGTTTCGGTCTCCGAGAGGTAATGACGACGCTCTGCAAGCGCAATTCCATGTTGCTGTCTTTGCTGAAGAACCCGCAAACTCCCTGAACTAGACTAGCACCTTGGCAGGGCACGCTTGGCCACCTTCGTCAGCCACTCGACGAGCACCTCCCGAGTCACCTTGTTCACAGCCAGAAACCAACGGCTGAGCCATACAGAAGATGATAAAAGATGAAGATGCGCCGAAGAATTCTGCAGCAGACTCCCATAAAATGCGCAAGGGAACCGGGCTCGCCCTCGCCGAGGCACAGGGCCTTTCAGGGCGACTTCCACGGCTGCGTGGACCTCCTGGAGGGTTAGGTCCTGGACAAGCCGTGGATCGTGGTCGGAGAAGTGATGTTGCAGGCTGCTCGCCAAAAAAACACATCCCTCTCCAACTCATCGGGCTGCAGGAGCTCAGTGGCTGATCTCTCCACTCTTAGCTCAAGTCGAGAGGGTCAATGGGCCTTCGCAGGATCGATTTGCATCTTCTCCAGCCTTTCACTCACACTTGGAAATGCAGCAAGAGCCAAGGAGCCAAGCAAATGAGTCCGGGAAGCAGGGAAGAAAAGCTAGAAAAGCGTCGTGTTGCACAGCCAGGGCTAGTGGGTTTAACGGCCTAGGACCAACACAGGAGGCCGCGTTTCTGCCCTCTCTCGGTGATTAGCTTACTTATCGCCCCATCTCCGACCGTGTTGTCAAGAAAATTAAACAGCCCTTCAGATCATCTTTTAGTGCACTTCTCATCCGAAGCTTGTTTTTGCGCAGACTGTACCGTTCCCTGGCATGAAACGACACGGCAAAGGACCCGCCCCTGGCCGAATACCAAGCAGCAGCGTGTCGTACAAGCGCTGCTCCCTTTCTCCTGGGAGTGCTTGCGTTTTAGTGAGGCTCAAACTCAACGCCCATTCTCGTGAGTATTGCCGCTGCTGGTGCCAGCGCCGGCCGGTTTACACCCATCACTGTGACCACACCGTTATTTGCGTCAGCTGGACACTAGAACAGGCAATAAACGAACAGCAAGAAGACATCATACGAAGGGAGAGGTTGTGAGATCGCGCCTGACATATTTGTTTGGATTTCATCTTGAACATGGCAGCCCCAACCAAGCAAAGTTCTCATGCACCTTCGCCTACATTACGAGCAGAGCGAAAGGACAATGCTTGAATGGTCCAATGCCGCTGCGCAGTTTTTTTTATCGTCCGAGAAAGCGGCCTCTGAGCACAGCGACAGCAGCAGAAAACTCTTGGAAATCCTTGGAGTGCTCTTGGCTTTTGGCAGGTACTGGAGGCTTGAGGACACAGGAGGCTGCAGGGGCTTGTGTGGTCAACTGCATGGCTCCTGATTGTGATATCGCTACCCTGCAATACAGTGGCTACACTAGACAGACCTGCCAGAAGCTGGCAAAGCACTCACCAAGACTTGTGGCGAAGAACCTCTCATCCGAACGCAAGGTGCACCAGCAAACTGACTAACAACGAGCCAAGTCACAGCAACGGCTGGGAATGCGGAGTGATGTCTGATCGTAGCCGTATACGCGCTAGCATCAAGCCCTTCCCTGTCACATCTCCTGAAATCACCCTTCCAAGTTCAAGGATTTTCACTAAGAAACTCACCACCCTGCGGACAGAGCATCTAGACGTCCAGACTGGTCCGTGTCCATAGCAGTTGCAACTCGCAAGCCGTGCTCACGCTCGATGCCGAGAACCTCCTTCGTGCAGATGGATCAAGACACAGTTTTGGAATTGTGGCGTTTGCAAGCGCTGTGCCAACCGTCACAGCGGCTCCTCCAGCGCATTTGCAATCTCATCATAGGTCAGGTGACCTTGAACAAAACAGACCGGAAGCTCTCGAGACTACAGTCCTTGTAACACGACTGCTGACTTGAAGGTGGCGGTGCAAAGCCACATAATCCCAATTAGGAGCTCGGTGGGGTTTGAGAGCGGGGGCATGTGTCTTGAGCTTCTGCGTGTTGTCGAATGAGCAGGTTCTGCTCCAGTTTCTGCTGCAGTGGCCATGCAGGGACCGGATGACGTTCACCTAACTCGGGTCGCAGCCGCTCTGCTCATTGTCAACGCGCTTGAAGCTCTCGGCTGCTCTTCGAAGATCACCTGCACCCGAGCCATGCCAGGGCAGATCACATAGGCCTAGGCCTCGATAGCCAAAGCCCTCTTGGAAATACCTCCTTCCACCCAGACTCGACTGGCCACGGACGCACCAACCGCACCCTGATTTCCCGAAGCCGGCACCTACCGGCAGGTACGAGGCCAGGTGGAACGCCACAGCCCTCTGCAGTGGCGTCCGCTTGGCAAAACGCACCAAGGCTTTGCAGATGCGCCGCCTTTCCGAGCCAAATAATGCAGGGAAGGAAAAGGGAGCGCTTGGCACATGCAAACAACATAGAGTAAGACTAGCCTGCATCCACACATCGCTCAGGAAGTCTACATTGATTCAGCTCTCTGCCACACCCTACACCGTAGCTCTTGTTCTTCTTCCTACTACCCTCATTGTTCTTACTATTGTTCTGGTGACTACTAGCATTATTATCACTATTCTTCAGAACATTGTTCTATTTTTACAATTGCTCTTAGTACTGTTCTGGTGACTACCAGTATTATTATAATGATTCTTCAGAACATCCTTCTTATGATTACAATTGCTCTTATTACTACTCCCTAGGGCTCCAGTTACCTAAATAGTAGGTTACTAACCATATATTATGTACCCCAGTAACCTACTATTTGGGTAACTGGAGCCCTAGGGATTTCTAACCCTGAACTTCGAACCCGAACCTGACGTGGAGGCGCTGGCTCAGG